CATTGCCTTTCAGACAATCAGTTTCAAAAGTCTTGGGACAGATGCCACAAAATCTTTGAATTTCAACAAACGACAATCCCCCCCCGCCCCCTGTTCAATGTTGTGTCCCATTTCTCGTCGGCTTTGATGTGTTTTGGTTTAAACAACATTGATTGGGGTGGGGGGAGGGGGAGGGGAGCGGTATTGTGTGTAGAAAACTATAATTATCCACTTACAAGCTAAAACTACATGTGTTCCAACAACTTCTGAAAGTGATTGTAGGTATTGTTCGAATTAAGACCTTTATCGAGTTTAGTCCCTGCCACGCCCTTTTTCGCCGGGGCTTAACTGGACTGGAAGTCAATTAACGATTTGAGCATTCCAGTTAAGCCCCGACATTTGGTGGATGTAAACAAGTGACGCGTGTATACTCGCAAAAATATTGGCAAATAAGGAGGGAGAATGTAAAATTTCAGCAATTTTAAGAAATATATTTTACTATAAAACGAGTTTACATAATATTCTAGTCCTAGATCTAGTTGTTGCCGAGTACGTCTGTTAGAAAGATAGCTCGCTTCCATATGAACATGCCTAAGATTTGCGTTCTGCAAGTGCCGCTATACAGAGTGTATAAAAAAAACGCAACCTCGGAATTTCCCAAGAAATCGACATTGTTTTAAAGCAAAAGATTTTAGGCGCCTGGGAATTTAAAATAGCACAACTGTCAAAATTACTGCACACACGAGTGCATAAAGCAAAATTTATGCATTTATTTGATCTATTAGCAATTCGATTTCAATTCCCAGGGGCCTAAAATCTTTTATGCTTAAGAATTGCAAAATGATTTCTTAGGAAATTCCGAGGTTGCGTTTTTTTTTATACACCCTGTATATTATTTATTTTTTAAAGTCGTAATTGCCGCCCTGAATGAGCTGTTGTTTACAAATCCTTATTGATCGAGTTCTCTCGTTTCACGATGTCATTTTCTGTATAAAACTCTAGGCAAATCTTAGTAAAATATATTTCTTAAAATTGCTGAAATTTCACATTCTCCCTCCTTATTTGCCAATATTTTTGCGAGTACACTGCGAGTATACACGCGTCACTTGTTTTAATATATCCACCAAATGTCGGGGCTTAACTTGAATGCTTAAATCGTTAATTGACTTAGAGTTAAGCCCCCGGCGAAAAAGGGCGTGGCAGGGGCGTTATTAGTCTCCTACGCAGCCTGTTCGCGGGTCCGAGGTTTTCTCCCCACTAAAACCTCGGACCCGCGAACAGGCTGCGTAGGAGACTAGGGCGTTATCGGAAGGCTTATTTCGAAGGGCTTAACTCGAAAAATACCTACCCCGCCAAAGCCCTGCCCCAGCCTCCACCGTGCCCCCCCCCTCTCCCCCCCCCCACCAAAGTCCTTTTTCTCTAACATATAAGGGAGCTTTGATATTCTAGTAAATTAAATTTGCTTTGTGAATCTTATGTCCTGTCTTTTATCTTTTTAAAATACAATGTCTTTTTAAAAATTCTAAACATTGTGTTGTAAATACCTTCATATCCAAGACCATATAGATTTGAATTGGAAGGCTCGACTAAATTATTGTGACCACAGGGGCGTAGGAACCAGGGGAGCCGCGGGCCCCCAACCCAATAATTATTATGGCGGGGGGGGAGGGGCGGTGGAATAGCTTTCGCCCCCCCCCTAAAAACAATTGAATTCAAAACTAGAGGAATTTGAAATCGTATATATATTAATCAAATATCTTCAAATATGTGTGATAAATATTTTAATAACAATATTTCTCGTAATAATCCATCCTAACTACTCACGAACGGATAGCATGGACTCACAAATCATAATGAAAGACGAAAGAGGTAGAAAATTCCATTTCCGACTCAAAATTTGCCAACCATGGTGTTGATGGGAGTCGAGCCCCCTAAGTTTATCAAGCTTCCTGGCCATGAGTGACTGAGTTGTGATATTTACATAAACATACCATGCAAGTACTTAACTGAAGATTCAGTCTATCTACAGCATAATGTAACACTGGAAATAAAAAAATCTGTTTCAGAAAACGCACGAAGTGCAGTCCTAGGGGTAGAAAAATACAAACATTTTCTGGGGACATGCGATACCACACCAAAATTTTTGTCAGCAACCTCTGTCATCTCTCCACACTCCCCAGTATGGTCCCTTTTTGTATATGCCCCCCCCCCCACGGACGAATTCTTCAAAAAAGCTCTGAATTCCTATAAGCCACAATTATTGTACAAAATTATGAACATTAAATTAATTCATACTTATGCTGTTTTTCTAGATATTGATCGTTGTTGTCATATATTTACTAAGCTTTTCCACCACCTTCTACATATTGTTAACAGAACATGATAGCTTTCGTAATATTTATATTTCGATCGTTTCAACATTTGTTGCCATGACATCTGGTTTTGAGTATGAGGAACAATTTGTCAAAGTTGGATGGCATGCGGAGATTTACGAAGTAAAGATGGCTGTCCTTATTTTGTGTATACTCGTCTTGTCGATAGTTGTAAACAATGCTCTGATTGGTTTAGCTGTTGGGGATACCGATGAAGTCATGAAATCAGCAAAAGTTGATAAATTTAAACGGAGGGTACGAGTGACAGGTTTTTAAAAGTTTTTATGGGAAATGCCCAATTGTGATCCATTTTAATCAGTTGGCCATTCCCGAAGTAAGGAGTAATTAGGGTAATCGCTCGCATCCGAGAGACTTCGTGGCTACGGGAAGGGAATTAGTTGTCTCAAAAGGGCAGAGGAGGGAGGTGTGCATAACCGAGGTTACGAAATTACAGTTCTGATTTACGAGCACGGGTAGCGTCATTTTGTTGAGTAATTTTTACTGACATATAGGCGTACGGGGAAGGGAAAACTTAGGAAAGATAACTTCGGGCAGCCCCTAAAAACAGGCCCGATTGAATATCTGACGAGCTCTCCGCCTCATGCTAAGTCTGAACATTGAATCATTAAATCCCAAGACTGAATAATTCAATCCTAACATTGAATCCTTGAAAAATGACGGTTTCAGGAAGACGGCCACAAACATGTTTATTTCAGGAAATTCTTTTCCACTGGAGCATGTTTACATATTTCGTGTTCTGTTATTATATGCATGCGTGACATCAACCCGAACTTTTGTTGCAAGAAAGTGTTTTTCAAAACTCACCTATACATGGTTATTTTATCATATTTGATGATATTTTATGACTTTTTTCTTTGAAGGCTGATTTTATTATTCATCTGGAGAAAAGTGTAAACACCATCCCTTACCTGAGAATGACAGAAGATAAATTCCACATTGACTTTCCTCAACGAAAACAGAATCTCTACCAAAAAGTCGTGGGTTTACTGTACTTCGGTAGCGAAATGGACGCAGTCGACGGTGAGGAAAATGAACATGAATATGAAATGGAAATTACTTTGGAAGATCATTTTGAAAAAACGGTTGAACTTAAATTAGAAAAATTTCGTTCAAGCTTACGGGATGAATTGAATGTAATCCACGATCAAATTAAAGAAGATCGTAAACACTTGGAAGAAAAGATGGAAATAATATTAGAGAAGTTGAAGTAAGCGGAAGTCAGGAATTTTCTCTCCTGCATGGGGCCGGTTGTATAAAAAAGTGATTAAAGTTAACTATAGTTAGTGGAAACGTCATCCAATAAGGAGGGTCTAGATGGGGTTTAATGTTAAGTGTTGACGGCCCATATTCTATAGTGTTTAATGTTGAAACGCTAAATATTTTGTTGTTTACTGTCATGGAAGACTTCGCAGTTAAGTGTTGTAATTACTATAAAAAGTCTAATGCATTTCAAAAAGGGCTTTAAACTACTAAATTTCAGACAAAAGAATACGAAACTATATTAAAAGCGATGTCAGAGTGTGTTTACAGGTCTTACAGATCTTTATAGCTTTTACATCACTTGTCACCTTGCCCAGCACCTGCATCTTTGCCTTCATGCAGGCCAACACATGCGCATATGGGCCTGGTGTGCCAATTACAAAATATGCAAAATATGTCTTTGATGGTCTTAGAGACTGTGCATTTGCTTCCTACATATAATTAAGTGCGTTTTTACGTCTTCATGAAATTAGCAAAATTTTACTATTATGTGAAATTTTTTACTGTTACTGTTAAATTACTAAAAAATCAAATGTTTACTGTTTTGGGCACCACCCCATCTAGACCCTCAATAAGAAGCGCGTATTTGAGAGTTAATCACTATTTAACTACAAAATAGTGATTAAAAAAGTGATTAAGAGTTTTATACAACCGGTCCCTGGCTTTTTTGCAAGGAAGTAAAGTTCAGGAGTAAATATATGTCGCTGTATAATAATGGACATATAAATCGAAAAAGTAGAGCTGCTATTCAACATATGCATGAATTTCTCAGATTGCAGAGCAAAGAGAGAAATTACTAATTCAATCTAAACAATTTTGGCAACTACCGATTGTTGTATATATATGTACTATTTAAAACACGAGTAGGAGTGTTTTATCAGATATAAAACGCTCGGCGCTTAAAATAAGACTACAAAAGAATACTAATTAGGATGAACCATAATATAATTATGCTAATTAAGATGAACAATTATATAATGCCACATGTGTTTTATCAGATATAAAGTCACTCCACGTGACATATTATGGCTGACATGATTTGCCACAAGGTTTATGAATTATTAATGAGTATTTTAAATTATTAACATATATTTATATATATATTCTCAACATTACCCTAACCCATGCGCGTGAGTTACTCAAATTTCGAGCAACTACAATCTCGTGCAAAAATAATGAGACTTTTGATAATTCGTTCTATTTCCGTGATTACTTCGCGATCCCTCTATACAATGTTGAAAAAAAAAATTGACCTGACAATATACCTTTGTATCGTTTGTCCAACATTGTTTGTGGATGGAGGGGGGTAATGACTTAGTTGTCTCAATAATTTTTGCAAGAGATTGTAGGTTTACATAACACATAACAGTAAAACTTCTTGTTTCTAATGTGGCTTATTAATGATGTACACGTGGTATGTATAAGATTTCACTGCACTGTTTAAATATTCGCACTTTTTCTATTGTATTTTTCTTTCAAGTTTTCTATCTGATGCTATTTATAAGCAGACATGAATTGGACATCTTGTTTGAATACTAATTTTTTATACTTATTAAGTTATATTTACATTGCACAATTAAACATAATCATTGGTGTATATACGAGTGTCAACCTTAACCCTGCCTCGTACCCAGGCGCTTTGGGTTTTTTACGTCATCAAGCGCACGCCGGACGGCAAGCCATAGAAGGAACACATCAACACATGCATGGCGCCTGGGTGCGAGGCAGACCTTAACCCAGCAACAACGATACGAGGTCAACGCATGCAGATAAGTGCCAATTAGCCTTTCTCACGAAGGCCAATTCGCTATTTTGGAGATACTTTTTTGAAAACGACGTGAAAAATCTAAGCAATGTGAAAACATTTTTTTCAAACATTTAACTGTAAATTAACTTATAATGATTATACTCACAATTATAGTTATACAAATCCCTTATTCACTACCCCAAAAAGGCAGTACCCCAAAAATTGCGGGGTGTGAAAGGCTAACTGTTTTACCTGCAATTGTTTTACCAAGAGAAACTGAGGTCTGATGCCACGATGTTTTTGTTACCTTTGAGACGTATGGACGAATTTAAGCGCGTTTTACACTTGGCGAATTTGATTGCGCGAAGCGAAAACCAAATTTCGGCAATGTGTCTGGTTAGCGAAAAAATTCGCCCCAAAACAAATTCGCCTACATATAGTGGCCTGATTTCCACCAGGCGAATTTTTAACCAATAAGATGCGCGCTTTTTTTCTTGATGCTATGAAAAACTCCACTTCTCTCTAAATCGTCGCGAATTTTTATGATGATCGTCATAAAAATCGTCTCAAAAATCGTCTAGTGGAGATCCGCCTTTAAGGGTTAGTCCTACATGCGGTTACTGTAACTTCTAGATACTTTAGATGTACTGAATAAGTCACGGTTGTTTACTCGGCGAAATTGTGTTAATTTCATGGTATGGCGTACAGAAAGACAGCAATAGAGAAATTTGGCTAACGTTTGTTTATACCCAATTCTCAATTGTTTACACCCAATTCTCAACATTGATAACTAACATGCCTAGTTACTCATCGTTCTAGTTTACAGAAGCATAGAATAGAAGGAACATAATTTGATGATCTTATTGACACTATTTAGCCCGATTACTTAATTTTCACACCTGACGTAATGAAGACGGTTATTCAGTATAAACACCGCACAAAAAGAAAGTCCCCCCAAATATATAATCACAAGTTTTAAATAAAATGTTTTAAGGCTAATCTCCACTAGGATTTTTGACGATTGTCATAAAAATTCGCGACGATTTATATAGAGAGAAGTGGAGATGTAATAGCAGCAAGAAAAAGAGCGCGGAATCTTATTCGTCTGGCACTCGACGAAAAGTAGAAGTCAATCCTACTTTTCGTCGAGCGCTAGACAATCGCTCTTCGAACATTTTTTTTCAATTGCGCATGTGTCGTCCCGAACTGTTTTGCCGATCGTTTCAAAAATCGTCTAATGGAGATCCGCAATTAATACGTCGAATTTCGGTCGCGTCGAATGCAATTCAAACAATAGATATGAAGCTTAAGGTTACATGCAGGACACTCATTTTGGCGTTTTGCGGAAAATCGCTACTGCGCGCTCAAAATCAGTCCGATTTTCATCAAATTTTCACCAGATGTTCGCCAGTGCATGCAAAATATGGTAAAGTTATAAAATTAACAAACAATAAAATAATGTACGAATTATTCAGGAAAATCGTAAATCGCAGTACCGTTACGCTTTTGAGTTGTGCTCCTGCTGGTCATAAGTTATATTTATGAAAATATCATTTTTAAACAGTAAAATAGTTGTTCTAAAAAACTGTGTTCGGAAATTTTTGTTTATTTCGTCATTCCGCTGATATGGCCATTTCTTTGACGACTGCAATATATTTCTGAATTGTTTGAGTGAATTGCTCTTTATTATTAAAGTATCCAAAATTAGAACAAAGCCGAACACAATTTTGAAACTGACGTCTTTAGCTATGTCCTGTGAAAATTTGAGAAAAATTGGATGAAACCCGCAGGAGAACAACTCGTTTGAAAATCAGTAATTACCATAAAATTCTTCGGGAGAAAATTGAATTTGAATATTACATTTTCAATGTTTTTCTTATTGCAGCGAAATGTATTTTATTAAATAACTCTGCGAGTTTTCAACATTTTTCGTTCAAACTTGGTCAGATAGTAGAACTAGTCTAATGCTTTCATGGCGACCAATAAAAAACTTTTAGGCAAAATTAACACTCAAAGGTGTCCTGTAACCTTAATGAGGTTTATCACCTGATTATCTATTGTCTTAACTGCATTCGACGCGACCAAAATTCGACGTATGAAACAGGCCTAAGCATGTGTTGAGTTATCTAAAGTTGTGAATTGGGTAGAAACGATGTAAACAACGCGTTAGCAAAATTTGTAAATGAAAATCCAATTTAAAAAGTAATGTTAGTTACAACATAAGGATCTTATCAGTGGAATTTTAGTTGCTTTGCACAGGCCCAAACAATTCAATTACATGGAGACCGGTTCATGTTAAACATTCGTTCGTGATCACACAACTGGATTTAAAGTCACAAGATGCAACATTTGAAAAACTCTCCCAAACAAATTGAAGTTGATTTTGTATAAAGCCATTGACAACAAACGCTCAATTTTACAAACACTTTGATAATTTTGTGCTACTTGAGTGATTCGAAATGCTGTATTATTTCCGTTGTCCCTCAACAAATGCTGCTAATTCTGCGTCGTAATCGTCGTCATGCCCACTTGGCCAATTGTCCTCAGTTCTAAATTAGAAACAAAATAGATATGCAATATTTCAAATAATATTATAAGTAAAAAGACATTTCTCTTGGTACCTAGTATTTTTTCCTTATGAAAAAGTACCTTACATTCTATGAAATACTATGTTTAAAGCGGAAGTAGTTTGGACGGAAGTGTATAGGCGTGGTGTTATTGAATGGCATGGGGGATTGAGGATGATTGTTTTTGGAGACGTTGGTCGAAGTAACTGTGAATTAAATATATGTATTAAAAAGAGTTAAATTTAAAGATATAACATTGGCGACGAGGATTTCATAAAACGGTACAAAGGAAACTAAACAAGTACTATGGCTTTTGCGGGGCTTAATTTCTCTGGAATTCAACCTTTTTAATCCGCACAGTGATCAGAGTTCGTTGGCGGTTCGATGGAAAGATTGGGTTCAGAGATTCACCCGATGCATGGTTGGGTTTGATATTAAAGCGAAAGCACGAAAATGTGCCTTGTTGTTGTATTTGGCTGGCCCTGAAGTGGAGACCATTTTCGCAACTCTGTCAGATACGGGAAACGACGACGATTACGACAAAGCTGTGCAAAAGCTTACTAGTATTTCGCGCCAAAACAGAATGTGTTATACGAGCGCCATAGATTTCGCCAAGCAAAACAACGTGTAGACGAATCTATTGATCAGTTTCATACCCGATTGAGACATCTTGGGGCTACTTGTGATTTCGGTGATTTGGATGACGAAATTCGTACGCAAATTGTGGAGCACTGCCGATCATCTCGTTTACGAAGAAAAGCCCTTCGCGACGACACAAAACTTTATGATTTAATTGCCTATGCACGCTCGATCGAGTTAGCCGACAAACAAACCGACGAAATGGAAAAGAAATCTACGCTGGAAGATCACGTATACAGTAACACGCAACGTCGAGGCCATCGACCGAATAAACAAATATCGAAGAAATGTTATACATGCGGGGGAATTATCCACACGTAAACGAGTGTCCTGCATCAGGAAAAGAGTGCCGAAAGTGCCACAAAATGGGACACTTTGCCGTTGTGTGTAAAAGTAGACCAGATGGAAAACATCTTCCAAAATCAACTAAAGTAGAACGAAGCGATCACAAAGTAAACAATCTGGAACACAAACGCTGTGGCTGTACTAAGGAAGCCATAGGTGTCAAAAAGGAAAGAGAAAACACATCGAGTCGAAGTTCTGAATCGTCTGAGGAAAGCGATACGAGTAGCGAAAATTGTTTTGCTATGTCTTCAAATAAAGTTGAAAATAAATGGAGTACAAGTGCCGTTTCTCGTGGATACTGGAGCGACTGTGAATATTTTGACAAAGCGTGACCTTGACAACATATTGTCGATTAGAAATGGAAATATACATCTAAAGAAAACGAAAACCTCTGTTTATGCCTTTGGATCTCGCGAACCAATCCAGCTACAAGGAAAATTTGACACTGTCATCGAATCTAAACGACGGGTCACAGCTGCAACTCTGTATGCCATGAAAGAGACACCTGATCAGCCCTCAACCTCAATTTTGAGTTATCAAACTGCTCTAGAGGTAAACTTAATAACAATGCGTATCAATAAGTTATCAGAGCAACCGGAAGTAAACAGCAGTGTGTCGGAACAAAGCAATTCGAGCACAGCGAATGACATTAATCAGAGCAAAAACATGGAACGTTTTTTTACGACGGCGTTATCCAAAATCGTTTGAAGGAATAGGCAAACTGAAAGACCATGAGCAGAAGATACACATAAATAAGGACATTCCACCGGTAGCTCAAACATACAGGAGAGTACCTTTTCACTTGCGAAAGCAACTTGATGAATGGATTGAAGAATATATTGAAAAAGACATAATTGAGCCTGTTGTAGATGAATATACAGATTGGGTTAGTGAACTTGTTGTCACACCCAAGCCAAGAAATCCAAAGGAAGTTCGGGTATGTGGAGATTATAGACAAGCCAATAGAGCTGTCAAGAGAGAAAGGCATCCCATTCCAACTGTTGAAGAGCTTATGGAAAACATGGACGGTGCCGTAAAATATAGTTAAGTTGATTTGAAAGCAGGCTACCACCAAATACCCCTTGACAAAGAATCGCGATCGATTACAACTTTTACAACACATCGAGGATTATTTAGATATAAGCGACTACCCTTTGGCATTAATGCAGCAAGTGAAGAGCTATCCAAGGACTAGACGGTGTTAAAAACATTGCAGATGACATTATTGTCTGGGGCAATACACAACAACAACATGATCAGAGGGTAGAGCAATTATTTCCAAGGTTTCAAGAGAAAAATCTTACTGTCAACCCTGAAAAATGCCTGTTCAACCAGACAGAACTTTGGTTTTATGGATTGCATTTGACATCAAATGGTATCAAGGCTGATCCGAGTAAGGTCGATGCTATAAAGAATACAGCCCAACCCAGAGATGTAAAAGAATTGAGAAGTTTTCTCGGACTATCCAATCATTGTAGCAAATTCATACAGAATTACTGAACCTTAACAGCACCACTACGGGAACTAACTGCCAAGAATACCAAGTTTGAATGGAAACCAGTGCATGAAAAAGCATTTGATGCAATTAGACAAGCTATTCAGAAGGATTGCATCATGCACTACTACAACCCCAAGCAAAAAACCGTGCTCACAGTTGATGCAAGCCCAGTGGGGCTTGGGGCAATTTTATCAAATGTTGACTCACAAGGTAACATTCATAATGTCGCATATGCTAGTCGATCACTGTCTAAAGTTGAACAGAAATATTCGCAAACCGAACGTGAGGCTCTCGCAGTGGTGTGGGGGAGTGAAAAATTTCATTTGTACTTGGTGGACACAAAGTTCGCCATTGTAACTGATCATAAAGCTCTCGAAGTTATCTACAATACCAAGTCCAAAATGCCTGCAAGAATTGAGCGATGGGGTCTGAGGTTACAACAGTATGATTTTGACATTCAACACAGACCAGGTGTTGGAAACCCAGCAGACGTTTTGTCAAGACAACCTTTACAACAGTGTTCAGAAAAGAGTGCTAGCAATGTAGCAGATCAATATGTCAATTTTGTGGAACAACACTCTGTCCCTGTTGCAATGAACATCAAAGATATCATGGTGGCTACCAAAAAAGATCATCAATTACAGAATGCCATATCAAACATTCAATCGGGAAAATGGACTAAGGCAAGTGATCTATTTTCTGTCAGGCATGAACTATCAGTGACCAATAATGGACTACTCTTGCGAGGTTCACAAATTGTTATGCCATCTAAGTTGAGAATGGAAACATTAAAACATGCTCATAAAGGGCACCAAGGAATTGTAAAGACTAAGCAAGCTCTAAGAACAAAAGTATGATGGCCCAAAATTGAAAAAGATTCAAAGGATTATGTGCAACGGTGCCATGCTTGTCAGTGTCTTGGGCAAGCAGACCCACCAGCACCAATAAAATTTAACCAGATGCCAAGCAAACCTTGGGAACGCCTTCATATGGATTTTTTAGGACCATATACTACGGGAGAAGCGTTGCTAGTTGTCACTGATGCAAACTCCAAATTTCCGGAAGTGGAAATTATGAAGTCAACAACCACTAAGCAAGTCATCACAAGATTGGAAAGAATATTTGCCACACATGGATTACCACTAGAGGTACGTACTGACAATGGTCCATCGTTTAATGCAAAAGAGTTTCACCAATACATGAAAGACCGAGGCATCCTTTATCGAACTTTTACTCCATTATGGCCTCAAGCAAATGGCGAGGCTGAATCGTTCATGAAGCCACTTAACAAAGCCATACGAGCAGCTCAGTTGGAAGGCTGTGACTGGCGAGAAGAGATTTATACTTTTTTACTAGCCTACCGTACTACTCCACAGTGTAGCACTGGTGTAGCACCTGCACAGCTTTTATTTAACCGTGAAGTTCGAAGTACCATTCCAATGTCACCGGAAAAGAGAGAGGTGGATTACAAAGAGCTGCACAGCAAAGCAAAAGAAAATGTTGAGAAGAAGCAACGGAAGGCAAAAACATACGTTGACAAGACGAGAAGAGCAAGAGAACCACAAATTTCAGTTGGAGATAAAGTTCTGGTTAGACAACAGTACCGTAACAAGTTATTATCGAAATCACTAGAGTGGTAAATTTGTCTTTCGAGATTTGCACGCGCGGGGTTGATTTTATGTACCACGTGATGAACTTTTTGAACACCTCGTGACCGCTTCGAAACTTTCAACAGCGTTCGTAAACAATCTGCGATGTTTGACAGGGATTGACAGGGAATATTGCTTAAATAATATTTTGATTATGCGAATTGTAATTCTAAAGTTCTGAAAAGAACTATAAACGCCCAAGCATGTTTTGGAACTACAAATTAAGGTAAAGAAAAAGTATTTACTACAAATCTTACACCTCAGTGTGGTTGTCTATACTGAATTTATATTGTAGTCTACAAATAGCCAAACCTGAATATTCGTGTATTTTGTGTCAGTTCAAGAATGTTGTAGACTCTACCTTCATTTCTTGAAACATAGTCAAAAGTATTACTATTAAAGAGCTCTAAAAATAATTTTCTCAATCATTAAAGCATCAATTCCACTAGAACATCGCAGATTGTTTACGAACGCCGTTGGAAGTTTCGAAGCGGTCACGAGGTGTTCAAAAAGTTCATCACGTGGTACATAAAATCAACCCCGCGCGTGCAAATCTCGAAAGACAAATTTACCACTCTAGTGATTTCGATAATAGCATCGTTATTTGATCCAAAACCTTTGGTCGTGACCAAAGTGAATGGAACAATGCTTACAGCATCAAGAGAAGATTATTTAGTTACCAGGAATGTCTCTTACTTCAAGAAATACCTTCGCAGTGAAAGCGATGCATTGAAAACCAAGCATGACTGTGATGGAGAAGAGAAAGACATAGACAATGGGACAACAGAAACCGGTGAACAAAGAGAAGTTCCAGAGCCAAGAAGATATCCGCTGAGGAATAGAAACAAACCAAGATACTATTGAGTATTCATCAATGTCGTGAGTACTGTATATTTAAGTATAGTAACTAACACTAAAGACTATGATATAATCTAGTATTATATACTCTCGTAAAATAAGTTGTGTTTTTGTTAGGTTTCGGTGTTAGGTCGTTGTTAGTAGTAATGTTAAATGACGGTTGATAGTCATTGACGTTTGAAGATAACATTGACATTTAAAAGATATTCATATTAGCGGGTTTTAAGTTTATTTTAAAGTAAAGGGAAGATGTACTGTTTAGAGCGGAAGTAGTTTGGACGGAAGTGTATAGGCGTGGTGTTATTGAATGGCGTGGGGGATTGAGGATGATAGTTTTTGGAGACGTTGGTCGAAGTAACTGTGAATTAAATATATGTATTAAAAAGAGTTAAATTTAAAGATATAACACTATATATTACCGAAACATTGGAAATCTGCAAAAATATTGTCCCTGGAATCCCTTTTTATTAAAATAATTAGACCTGTAGCAAAAACATAATTTCCGGTGTACAATATAGAAGTGTTGACAACTAAGCCGAGTGATATATTACACTAAGTATTTCGGCAAAGGTCAGTATGACCGCGGGCTCAGAAAAGCACATATTGTATTTGAGAAAGGTTTCTCGTGTTAAAAGTCGAAATTAAAGAGCTAAAAACCAGATTTGGTGATTATATTTTACAAATTAAGTAAAACTAAGAACCCGTGTCACATTTGTGATTTATGATTTATTTCAAAAATAATACATTGCAGCCCTAGGGCTGAATTACGAGTTATATACAATAAAGTGAACAGTTATAAGAATAGATTATACTCTGAACTAGCTAAAAATGTAAGTTTAAAACCTATAATCTAAGAGTATTCGTTTGCTTTTCGGCTGCCGGATATTATAAAACTATTTGTACAACGATTGGTATTAATCCTCGGTAACATGAACTTGCGGTTATGTCTAAAATTGTACTTTGATTTAGAGGAGGCAATAAGCCATGCAGTTTGTGCGTGCTGTCTTTTGTAATAGAATCAAACAACGACTTTCCATTTCAAGTTTCTTCAAAGCCATTTCGTACTCAAGATTAGGAAGGATGATTGACATGACTCGTTTTTTAATTCTTTCCATATCTTTGATAAGGCAATTAGGTAGTGAACCAGGGAAAACTGGTACTACATAGTCTAATACAGATATAATTCATGCAACATAAAATATTTTAAGATCATCACATGCAACATTTGCCCTCTTCAATTGTATAAGGAAGTAGATTCTTTTCGAAACCCTCTTTGTAATATCATTTAAATGAGCATTCCAGGAAAAGTTACTGGTGATTGTAAAACCTAAGAGTTTCGAACTTTCAACGACTTCAAGAGGTTTTCCATTAATAACAATGGGGTTAAAATTACGCTAACACTTGGAAAAGGATATACGTAACCCTTTGCACTTATCAGGGTTAAGTTGGAGCTTATTTACACTTGACCAACTTGATACGCGGTCTGCAACTGATTGAGCATAACTTACTTTTCCTTTAATTAAAAACTGTCTACGACGTTGTTGTAATTTCCACAATTTAGTGTTGTCGATAGCAAGATCGTTGTTAATGACAAGAAAAAGCCAAGGCCCAAGTTTAGTTCCTTGGGGCACGCCGGATGGGACACATCCCCATTCAGAAAAAACATTCATCGAGCAGTTCGATTCTTTGATAACGGTCTGTCGAGAAGTCGATTATCCAGTTCACAACACTGTGCTGCCAATCAAGATTACATATAGTTTCTGGATCAATATACTGTGGTCATTAAGATCGAATGCCTTCCTATAATTGAACAAAATACTGTAACTCTCACAGTTGCACCATTAGCATCGGTTTCCAGCGTCCAGTTGTGAAACATATCCAAAAGGGCAAAAGTGGTACAAGATCTTGGTATTGCACCATACTGATGGGGATCCATGACCTTTAAGGCAGACGGCTTGACGTAATCATTAACTATAATATCCTCGGCGATTTTCGAAATAAAGGATGTTAGTGAAATTGGTCGTAAATTTTTACTAGGTTGCAAATAACCTTATTCTTAGGTAGAGGATTAACATCAGCTATCTTCCATAAGGTTGGCAGACACTACTCTTTGAATGAGGAATTCAGGATAATGCAAATTGGGAAAGCTAAAAAATCAACAAATATCTTTGAAACTAACTTGGAATACCAGTTTCAGCACTCTTGACTCAGTCACTTGTGCAAAAACTGGGCACTCCTCCGAGGGAAGCTTACTGATTGAATTGGGTAAACGATAGTCCTCCAATGGGTCAAGAAATGCTTTTCCAATTGCATTTGCTAATTCCTGTTTTGTTAGGCAGCTTAGGCTTTCTAATTCTTCCATATCCAAACGAGAGAGTAGGTTTCCGGATTGGTCTTTCGTTCCTCCCAGATGTTTGATTTCATTCCACCATATTTTTGGGTTTTGACTTTTCATATGCTCGACTCTGGATTTGTAATAACGTGACTTGCAAATTTTCCTTTCACGATTGACTGCGTTTCTTAACTGTTTGAATTTAATAGACTTCGGATCACTGACAGCGAATGCTTTCTCCCTTTTAAGGATAAGTGGTTTTAATCTTTGGTTCAACCAGGGTGGGTCAGCTGTATTGTTAGTATTAGTCTATGACCTGTATATGAGTTTGTATGCGTTTCATTTAGGACAGGTAATCTCAACTGTTTTAGGGTAAAATGACCATGGCGGTCAACATGGCATATGTGCGAAAACCTGAATCCGGGACGAAAGTCCTGAAAATGACCCCGTCCTGAAACGGGAGTGTCGACATAGCTCTAACTTCCGAAAAGGAAAAGCGATAGCCTTTCTGAAGTGCTTATAGTGTTTAGAAGGGTTGCTTTTAGGGGTGGTCATTGGAAGGAAAAATTTGTCTAAGTATAATATTTTACAAGAAAATGACCATGCACCACCCCAGGTAAATTGCTGATTATGCACAAAATAACTAATATGCCTGGCAGAAATTTAATATTCTTATTTCGTAAAAAAAATTATTATGGGGTGAAAAACTATGCTTAATTTAATATAAATATTGTTGATTCCATAAGGATTGTCATTGTTTTCTTTAAATATAATGCATTTTATTTCACTTACCCCCAACGAAAACACGATTTCAGCCATATTTTGTTCTTCCTTGTAGAACAGTACCAATCCAAAAATTGAAAATATTATTGGTACTTGGGAAGAAAAAACCTCCCATAATAGTTGTCCTGTTTGAATTCAAAAGAAATAATTTAAAAGTCACGCGCAAGTTCGCGAAAACACCTCGTGGGTTACATAACAGGGGGGAGTGAATATTTTCACGAAACGTTTGTTCGCCACCACAGGCCACAGCAACCTAACTAAGTACATTATATTTATTGTATATTTGTGATTTATGATAAAAACAATAAATATTTGCGTATTTTTATCATCAATTATAAAAATACAAAAAATATAATACATTTAGTTAGGTTGCTGTGGTGGCGAACAAACGTTTCGTGAAAATATTCACCCCCTGTCATGTAGTCCACGAGGTATTTTCGCGAACTTGCGCGTGACTTTTAAATTATTTCTTTTGAATTCTAACAGGACAACTATACTGGGAGGTTTTTTCCTCCCAAGTACAAATAATATTTCCAATTTTTGGATTGGGACTATTCTACAATGAAGTACTCTTGGCTAATGTAATCTAAACACATATGAAAACGAAGAAGTGGCATTTATCGGGCAGAGGAGCGGCGAGCCATTAAAATGGCGGCAATTTGGCGGAATATCGAAGGACACAATATCGTAGATAAAATACACTGCACTGTTTCAAAAGTTGATGAAACCTTCTTTGAAATCTTCTTCAGCCATTTATGATTATGTAAAAGTACAATAACTGAATGATATTTGCGAGATTCGGCGATAAAAAGCAAACAAGACGGCAAAATATGGCTGAAATCGTGTTTTCGTGGGGGGTAAGTGAAATAAAATGTATTATATTAAAAGAAAACAATGACAATCCTTATGAAATCCACAATAATTATATTGAACTAAGCATAGTTTTTCATCCAATGATAATTTTTTTTAGGAAATAAGAAAATTTAATTTCTGCCAGGCATATTAGTTATTTTATGCATAATTAGCAATTTACCTGGGGTGGTGCATGGTCATTTTCTTGTAAAATATTATACTTAGACAAATTTTTCCTTCCAATGACCACCCCTAAAAGCAACCCTTCTAAACACTATAAGCACTTCAGAAAGGCTATCGCTTTTCCTTTTCGGAAGTTAGAGCTATGTCGACACAGCCGTTTCAGAGCGGGATCATTTTCAGGACTTTCATCCCGGATTCAGGTTTTCGCACATATGCCACGTTGACCGCCATGGTCATTTTACCCTAAAACAGTCGAGATTACCTGTCCTAAATGAAACGCATACAAACTCATATACAGGTCCTAGACTATAACTCAACCTCGTACCCATGCTCTTTCCACTACGCTCCTCGCTGGAGGAAATACCCTGGTCCAGGCTGGTCACGTTTCTCCCAGATTTTGGGAGATAAGAAAATGTTTAGATAAGGGGGGGGGGGCTAAGTTTGTTTTACCGATCTAGTTGCTGATCAAGATGCCGATATCAGAGTGGGTGTAATTTAACAAATGCATGTAATTTTAATGAATAGCAAAAGTTTGTGTTGCAAAATCAATGAGTGAGATGGATGTAAAAAGAACTTTGTATATGTATTCTTTGTGGATTACATTTCCGACGTCGCTACGCAAGGTCTGCATAAAATACTGGAGTCGTTCAGTTTCATATTGGGCAAAACCGCAAAGAAGTACTACGAAAGGATTTGTAATATACTCAAGGACAAGCCAAGAACATTTGCCTAGCAGCCAACAGCGAGTCTGTTGTTGTAAATTGCCGTAAATTGTAATCATATATAAGTGGAACGGCTCGATAACAAGACACATACATGCATATATAGAAATAACAGTACGAAAATATAATTATACAGGGTGCACATGAATATCGATGGTATGTCCATGGAGTTTTAGTACATACTCCATTTCCTCGTGTTTCAATAAGACAGTACTCAGGGGATTGTATCTATTATTATATTCGAAATGTTACTTTTAATGCACATGTTTTTTAATAGAGAGTTTCAGCTTCGCGTTCATACGCCAAACAACCAACGGCGTATGAACGCGAAGCTGAAACTCTCTGTTAAAAAAACATGTGTGCATTAAAAGTAACAGGGTTCGTAGTCTCCAAGACCAAAAAAATTCAAAGACTTTCAAAGATTTTTGCTGCCTATTTTCAAAGACTTTTCAAAGACCTTTGAGAGCAATCAGCATTGCAAGTGTAAGCATCGTTTTTACCCGGTAATTAGTCCCGTGAAATCACATCCTAAAATGCGCCTTTTCGTCGATATTTGCGAAAATCTTGCTTCAATCAATCTATTTTATTAGCTAGGAAATCGTATAATCAAATACTCACTAAAGAATTTAAAGACTTTTAAAGACTTTCTTCGCTTTTTCACACAATTCAGAGACTTTTCAAAGACCTTAAAGACCTGCATTCAAATATAAAGACTTTCAAGGATTTCAAAGACCGCTACGAACCCTGGCATTAAAAGTAACATTTCGAACGAACGGCGTATGAACTAGGTTATACCTAGTGGCCATTCTGAATATTTCGTGCCGTGCGAACACTGGACACAGCCCTGCATTGTTCGAGCCAGACGAACAACTAGGTATATAGTTCACGAAGTTCTGACTACAATAAAACAAGGCATATTATACATCTCAGTATCCAACACGACACAGATTGGCCCTTGGTCACCTGTAATTGGTTTACCCAGTAACCCCACTTGAAGTAAATTAAAGAATGAAGAGGCTGGAGAACAACCAGGCGCAACCAACCGAGAGTGAAACAGAATCGAAACAAATGGGATCAGATCCAACAAAACTATCATCATCCATGGGAGATGATGAACCAGCTGTTAGACTTGAGTGGGCTTACACAAGACCAAAGAAGAGGAGCGATGGAGATGTTATGCAAGGAAGCAGATGCATTTGTGATGAATGACGAAGACGTTGGGTGTATTGAGAGACTTCAAATGAACATTCATGTAACTGATAATCAAACAATTCAAAAGAACTATTTATCAATGCCTAGACCTTTGTATCCGGAAGTGAAGGCTTATATAAGGGACCTACTGAACAGAAACTTCATTCGGAAATCGAAGTCATCATCCTCTAGCAGTGTGGTATGTGTTCGGAAAAAGGACGATTGTGTGTAGACTACCGAATTTTGAATCAGAAAACTGTCCCTGACAGACACCCTATCCCACGTATCCAGAAGACACTAGATAACTTTAAGCCAGTTTTCCACTTCGCCCGTATCGTACCGAAACGTACTGATGAGCATGCGCAGATTGAAAAGAGGTTTACAAATCCACGTACTTCCGGGTGTATTCGGGTATCAAAATAAAAAGTTCGTCACAAGTCAACTTTTTGGCGTACTAGGGAAGTACTAACCAATCAACATTCACGAAATTTTGAAATTTAAAAACTTTTTGATACGTTTCGGTACGGTACGCTTGAAGTGGAAAACCGGCTTTAGTGTCCTCCATCAGGGACAAGTGTACCATCAAGGGTTCATGGACCGAGACAGTCAGCCTCCTACAGGTACAGCCTTCATAACCCCCTGGGGGTTATACGAGTGGGTCAGAATCCAGTTTGGGTTAACAAATGCGCCGGCCAACTTCCAGAGGTTTATGGAGAACTGTTTGGGACACCGAGATACCATTTGTATACCATACTTAGAAGATGTCATTGTCTTCTCAAAGACCTTCAAGAAGCATGTACATCATCTACAGAAAGTTCTTCAATGACTAAAAATTCATGGTGTCAAGTGCAAACTAAAAAATGTAACGGGTCAAGTGCAAACTAAAAAATGTAACTAAAAAATAAATAAAAAGGGTCAAATCGTTTCAGCGAACGGGTATCGGACGGCGACTGAAGCTGTTGAAAATCTTAAAGGAGTTATATGTAAGACCATGGGTGAGGTGCGTAAGATAATAGGTCTACTTGGTGTGTATCGACGTTCGATTGAGAACTTTTCGATGATTGCAAAACCATATATGAGCTTTTAAATGGGACAAGACCAACCTCGTTCCCAGGGCTTTAGTGTGAGGACGAGGGGAGAGAAGAGGAAGCCCTGGTCTGGGCCGGTCAATTTTGCATTTTCATTGGCTAACACCATATTGTCTAAAAATAACTGAACTTGACAGTTGACAATAACAATTCAACATTTGTATTTTTATGATTCTTGTGTGTATGAGTATGTTTTGCAAAATAATCTTTCAAAGTAAGACGTTTTCCAGACTGCATGATTTACTTTCGCCTCGACCGGTTACAAAACTCAAAAGCCGTGTCGACGTGAGCTGTGATGTTTCCTGACAAAACAAGAAACGTCTACTATTATTTAAGCTGTAGTTTTCCTTGTACAGTATTTTATATATTAATGTAGTGCAGACGTCTGATGAAATACTACGCGTATTGCATTGTAGTAATATTTAATTTACAATATTCTATACTGATCGACAAATAAAAGCAAGACAAACAATTAAATGAAACTACTAAATTAATTTAAGCCCTGTTTTAAAACTTAATAGCTCTGGCCGATGTAGTCTCTACAACTGTACAAGATTCGTCACGCCACCGAGTTTTACAGTTTCAGAATACCCCGAATACTTGAAAATTGCGACTATACGATAAAATAAAACATAGATTGTGAAGGGGATAAAATTTGTAGGCAAGCATTGCTCCTGAACGGCAAGTGTTGGTGTCCGGCAAAACAAGCGAATCCGTATATTCCTGTACAGCGTAAACAGGTTACCCGAGGTTTTATATTTGTGTTTATTTATGTCAAACTAAGTCAGATCTATAAGAGCATATTTAAACTAATTAAAATATTAAAGGCAATAGCCATATTGTTCAAGACGAGAGAAAGCAAATTTCGTGTGAATCACAACTTGCATGGAGACGCCTAGATGCAGCTTGGATGCAGCTTTGCCTGTGGTTGAAAATCTCCAGAAATATCGGTATATCTTAGAAAACATAGACGGGGTCTTCAGAGATTTCAGCTGATTCGTGCCAAACTTCGCTACACATAAATAATATCGATTGAGAAGTCTTTTGGCGCTGTTTATTTGTTTCGAAGACTTGCATATTTCATTAAAGAATATCTCGCCACTCCTTGACGAGTAGCTGTCAAATACTGCCATTTTTTGGGTAGTCACGTGACCAGGCCCAGACCAAAGCTTCCTCGTCTCTCCCCTCGTCCTCACACTAAAGCCCTGGGAACGAGGTTGGGACAAGACTACAGACGAAGTCAGCATCGATCACTTAACAGTCTCGTCATTATTGTATTAGTGCCCAAAATTCACGGTGTTTACAGACAACAATCCTCTGACCTATATCACCACAGCAAGAATTAATGCCACAGGCCTGCGCTGGGAAGGTGAACTCTCAGACTTCAAATTCGATATGAAATATCGACCTGGTCACAACAATAGACGCTGACAGCCTATCCAGCTTATCCAGACTTCGAGAGTATATGGCATCGTGTACCCAAACAATTTCACAAAAAGAACTTGACGCCTCCATCACATCTATCTGGGCCCTCGGTACTAGCGAAGCAATTTTGCTCACTTCCTTCACAACCAAAAAACAGATATTGCACGACGATGGAACTTTCCTTCCTTCCAATGCCAGTTGTAATACCACGAGAACAAGATAACGACCAAGGGCAGGCTGTACGAAAGTCGGATACGCTATCCACCGTGGATAGCGATTTTTCAAGCTTCCAAATTGGTGTAACCAGATTAAATTTTAGTAATTATGAATTGAAGTTTCTTTTTATCAATTGTGAAGGCAATATCTGTAATTTTATAGTTTTTTTAAGCATTTTTACAACGGTTGAAAAAATCACCATCTGGTGGATAGTGCTGTCCAGCCTTCGCACAAACGGTCTCAGAACAACAAGCGCATAAAAGAGATTATCTGATGCTAATAAATTCCAACACCCAAAGAACGACAGCGTGAGACACCCGAGGTGAAACGATTTCTGTTTGAACTACCAAAACTCCGAATTGTCCCCAGTTCTGGTATCGTATTGCACCGATCGCAAGTAGTTCTGCCAAAAAAAATTCGGAATTGCATGAACATATGGGCTATCTTGGAGTAGAGAGAGTTCTAGCTCTTGCCAGGCATCGTTTTTACTGGCCGTATATGAGACGGGACATTGAATACTTCGTCACACGTGTCTGCCATTGTCCAAGCTACCAGTTACTCCCTTCTCTTTCCCCTATTCGGCCACTCTGCACGATTACTCATTGATCTGGCATTCAAACTAAAAAATGAAGATTGCACCACCACCTACTCCCAAACAGCAATGAAGGAAACATATGCCAAAGCTTCAAACCTAAGAGTCGAAAATGCATCGCCAGGTAAAAGAAAAGATAACAAGAAAGTTCGCAAGGCAGTCGTTAAACCTGGGGACATGGTTTTAGTTCGAGATTTGGGAGGCAGTCCGAGGAAGTTGAGATCCTTCTGGGAGGATGAGGTACACATTGTACTATCGGGAAAAGGGCCAGACAGCAAGGTATACGACGTCCAATCGGAATCTAAGAAGAAACTTCGCACATTGCATCGCAATTTGCTACTTCCATGTGACTATATAGCTAGTGAGGAAGTATCTGATGACGAGGAAGTATACCCTTCAGTTTCACGTCGCGTGCAATCAACAGACAACACTGTCGACTGGGAGACCGATATGCCAGATACAGAACAATCGACCGAGCTACAAGTGCAGGCCGAGGACAACGCATCTGACGCAGAGTAAGCAGCAGAATTACAGCCGGATAATCTACATGGTAAGATTGAAGACGAACCTGTTGAACATCAAAAACAACATGGCGATATACTAGGGGAAACCGAATAAATATTGGAAGAACAGAAATAAAGAAGTACCCATGCCTGAACATGTGGAAAAGGGACGAAAAAAATTTTTTCGGACTTATATCAAAATTTTTTTTCGGAAATACACTTTTTTTAAACAAAATATTGCAAATTTGTCCCCTTATACCTAAATTTTCAAAAGATAACCTAAATTTTTCCCTAATTATAAATTTTTTTCCAAAAATTCAAATTTTCTGGGGGGCTAAGCCCTAACAAAATTCCAAAAAATTCCAAAATTACAACCTTCCAAAATTACAAAACCTTACCAAATACCACAACTTTCCCAAATGCCACAACCTTGCCAAATACCCTAATCTTACCAAATGCCACAACCTTACCAAATGCCACAACCTTCCAATACCACAACTTTCCCAAATGCCACCTTGCCAAATACCCTAATCTTCCCAAATGCCACAACCTTACCAAATGACACAACCTTCCAATACCACAACTTTACCAAATGCCACAACCTTCCCAAATACCACAACCTTCCAACACCACAACCTTACCAAATGCCACAGTAGTAGTGTATGTGGTTTTCGACCAGGATTTTCGGGCGGAGGAAAGGCGGAGGAAAGGCGGAGGAAAGGCGGAGGAAAAGCGGAGGAAAGGCGGAGGAAGGGAGAGTAAGGGCGCAGGAGGAGGGAGGTGGAGTGAGGCGGATGTAGTTAATAGGTTTTCGACCTGAATTTTTGCGGCGGAGGAAGGATGGAGGAGCAGGGAGGTGGAGTGAGGCGGAGGTAATTAATATTCAGGCGGAGGGAGGTGGAGTGAGGCGGAGGTAATTAATATTAAGGTGGAGGGGCAGTGGAGTGAGGTGGAGGAGGGTGCGCACGCATAACGTCATAATGATATGCAAGGCGAGTTTGGGCAAGACAGTTATTAAGTTGAGGTCAGCATTTTTATCACAATAGGATTCGGCGGTAATCACTTTTTAATTGGCGATCCCATGTTAGCGTCGCTACAAAATGCGATCACATTCGTTTTGAGCATCATTTCGCTGTTCTAACCATGTTGTGCCTACATGGAAAACCTGCGTCCTGTTCAACTATGAAACGTGGTACATTTTGGTTCTGTGGACAAAAACCTAGCTGTGAGTTCTTTTGCCGAGATGAAGATTGTTATATCTTCACGAAAGTCGTAGACGATTTTAGAAAGAGTGGTCCTCAACATCCCGTGTGCCCTACACATAACAAATTGGCAAAGTTACGTACAGTTAAAGACAAGATGAAGCAAAATAACGGCCGGCCGTTCTGCGTATACTGTGAATGGGAAAATCCCTGCAAATTTTGGCAGTGGGGAGATGTATATGAAAATACTAGACTTATTTGTCAACATGAGTCAAGAAAGACGGTCCTAACCAAAACAGGATGTTCTACTGCTGCCCAAAGGACGACGCTTGTGGTTTCTTCGAATGGAAACAATCAGAGCCTCGTGTGATCAATACTGGCATCGTGCATTCAGTAATCCACCACAATATCGATACAAGATTGAAGAAACAGGAGAGACATTTAACAGTACTAAATCTAATACTAGGGAAGCGTACGAGGAATATACATTTCTCAATTCTGTTTACGGTTTAACAAGCGAACTTGACATCTTTTAACTGTTATTTGTATCAATAAATATGTATTAAACTTTGCAAATGTTGTGTTGTTATGTGTTGCTAAGTCATTAGGCGACAAGGAGGTAATTAAGGGATTAGCCAAACAAAACGCAGGGGTATACCTTGAAATTGAGGGCGTGGCTTTGCGGGCATACATTTTCGCAAAAATTTAGTTTGCACCGTAATTGTAAAGTTAGTTAATTGTAACGTATATAAATACGTTGTGGGTTTTGCGAGATATATCGAAAAATTGTCTTGTTGACATCGAAGACTATGGTAATGACTATAGTCTTAATGGTCTAGACTATAGTCTTAATATGCATGACTATAGTCCTAATAGTCATGACTATAGCCTTAATAACCATGACCATAGTCTTAATAGTCACGACTATAGTCTTAATAGTCATGACTATAGTCTTAACGGTCATGACTATAGTCTTAATAGTCATTACTATAATCTTAATAATCACGACCATAGTCTTAATAGTCATGACTATAGTCTTAATAATCATGACCATAGTCTTAATGGTCATAACTTTAGTCTTTTGGTCATGACCATAGTCTTAATAGTCATGAATATAGTCTTAATGGTCATGACTGTAGTCTTAATAGTCATGACTATAGTCTTTATGGTCATGACTGTAGTCTTTATGGTCATGACTGTAGTCTTAATAGTCATGACTATAGTCTTAATGGTCATGACTGTAGTATTAATAGTCATAACTATAGTCTTAATAGCCATTACTATAATCTTAATAATACACGACCATAGTCTTAATAGTCATGACTATAATCTTAATAATCATGACCATAGTCTTAATGGTCATGACTATAGTCTTTTGGTCATGACCATAGTCTTAATAGTCATGAATATAGTCTTAATGGTCATGACTGTAGTCTTAATAGTCATGACTATAGTCTTTATGGTCATGACTGTAGTCTTTATGGTCATGACTGTAGTCTTAATAGTCATGACTATAGTCTTAATGGTCATGACTGTAGTATTAATAGTCATAACTATAGTCTTAATAGCCATTACTATAATCTTAATAATACACGACCATAGTCTTAATAGTCATGACTATAATCTTAATAATCATGACCATAGTCTTAATGGTCATGACTATAGTCTTTTGGTCATGACCATAGTCTTAATAGTCATGAATATAGTCTTAATGGTCATGACTGTAGTCTTAATAGTCATGACTATAGTCTTTATGGTCATGACTGTAGTCTTTATGGTCATGACTGTAGTCTTAATAGTCATGACTATAGTCTTAATGGTCATGACTGTAGTATTAATAGTCATAACTATAGTCTTAATAGCCATTACTATAATCTTAATAATACACGACCATAGTCTTAATAGTCATGACTATAATCTTAATAATCATGACCATAGTCTTAATGGTCATGACTATAGTCTTTTGGTCATGACCATAGTCTTAATAGTCATGAATATAGTCTTAATGGTCATGACTGTAGTCTTAATAGTCATGACTATAGTCTTTATGGTCATAACTGTAGTCTTAATGGTCATGACTGTAGTCTTAATAGTCATGACTATAGTCTTAATGGTCATGACTGTAGTCTTAATAGTCATGACTATAATCTTATAGGTCATGACTGTAGTCTTAATAGTCATGACTATATGTAGTCTTTTGGTCATGACTATGGTCTTAATAGTCAGGACTATAGGCTTAATAGTCATGACCATAGTCTTAATAGTCATGACTATAGTCTTAATGGTCATGACTATAGTCGTAATAGTCATGACTATTTAACAATTAGTCACCGAAGGCAAGGTGAATACAAGACTATATTCACTGAGCTGCGAAGCAGCAAAGTGAATATAGTCTTGTGATCACCGAACCTGAGGTGACTAATTGTTTTAGCATAAATTCAGTATTGAAAAATAATAATACATACAAATGTTATAAATATAATTTAATTCACTTTTTTGCTTTCGAGTCCAGCTGTCGGAACCTTGTTGCCCGATTCTGCTATTTTCCGGTTTTAAATTGCCAAACAAATTGTTTTAGGCATCTAAAGGGTGCTTTTGTCTTTCGGAAATAGGTTAACACCATATATTGTTGCTTCCTTTGCTTTTAGAGGAATAGTATGTGCCTTGAATCTCTTCATTTTTGTTCTTCGATGATTTGTTTGCACGTGGATTTTCGGCAGCCATTTTGTTTTGAAAGTAATAGTTACTGCTCAGAGCAGTCTCAGCAGTAACTATTGCTTCAGAGTTACTGCAGAGAGAGCCAATCAGAGTGCTTGAAAGCCATTTTTCAATACTGAATTTATACTAAAGTCTTAATAGTTATGACCATAGCCTTAATAGTCATGACTATAGTCTTAATAATAATGACCATAGTCTTAATAATCATGACCATAGTCTTAATGGTCATGACTATAGTCATAATGGTCATAAGGGTAGTCTTAATAGTCATGACTATAGTCTTAATGGTCATGACTGTAGTCTTAATAGTCATGACTATAGTCTTAATGGTCATGACTGTAGTCTTAATAGTCATGACTGTAGTCTTAATGGTCATGACTGTAGTCTTAATAGTCATGACTATAGTCTTTTGGTCATAACTATAGTCTTAATAGTCATGACTATAGTCTTAATAATCATGACCATAGTCTTAATAGTCATGACTCTAGTCTTAATAGTCATGACCATAGTCTTAATAGTCATGAATATAGTCTTAATGGTCATGACTGTAGTCTTAATAGTCTTTAAGACAAAATTTCGATATCTCGCAAAACCCACAACGTATTTTTGTACGTTAGAATTAACTAATTTTACAATTACGGTGCAAACTAAATTTTTGTGGAAAATTATGCCTGCAAAGCCACGCGCCCGATTTGAAGGTATACGCCTGCGTAATGAATAATCCCTATCTATCCATTTGAATACACTTAGTTATGCAAATTTTTGATTGCCTAATCCCTGAACTACCTCCTTACTTAGCAACAAATAACAACACAACATTTAGTACTGTTAAGAGGGCCTCTCAGTAAAATCCACTCACTGGTTTGGGGAAGGAAAAATAGATTTAGCTCATATTTTGCATATGAACTAGACTTTGGTCAATATTAATCGAACTTCTTTCAGAACGTTTCAACTTTCTGTTTTATAGGAGTTATAGCCATGTTAAAATTTGACCTTGCGAGAATATTTTCAGACCGGAAATGAAGGGGAATTTTACAAGAATTCATCTGATTTTTTAAAAACATTTTTTAAAAACTATAGTTACTGTTCACATGCAAGATTAACACTAATACCCTCATTTACATGGAGATTGAACAACTTTATTCGCTTAATACGATTTTTTTATAGTTTTACGAAACTATGTTTTCAAGATGGCGACGAGAGGCTGAAAATTGTTCATATTTTACTTAAAATAGCTCAAAAGTGGCACCTATCTGAAGTTCAAAAGGCATGTAATTTGAAAGTATACCTACTAAAGTTAAGTAATCAGGAATAAAACTCGTCTGCAAGCAATTTTCTGAAAAGTTATAAATCTCCAAATTGGGTCTATTTTTAGCTGTTTGTTTACATTCGCGTGTTCGCTGATCAGCGACACTAGTAATTGAAGAGTTAAAATAAGCTGATTTATTACCCATGAGTAAACCTTTTTAGCTTGTTCAAAAGAATATATACAATTTCGTGAAAATATAATTACAATATATACAATTAAGCGATCGTGTACAGAACATTCTTGAATTCGAATTACTTTACATTTATACTTAACTTTATACACTTGCACTAATTATACACTTTCAATATACACATACAGTAGTACAGTTACAACGATTCTGCTGATGTCTACGATCCTGATATCTTTTAATGTTATTAAATAATATATTGGTAATATAATAAGAACTTCGTCAATACATTGACACAATACCATAATCTCCTGATTATGACCTTGATCCAGGGGCGCCGGAAGCAATGTGAAGCGGCGGGCCAGCCATTTCAAAAGGGCACTTGCTTCTAAGCAATCATTTTTCTGGGCGGCAATATTTGTTAAAACTTTATTGTATGGATACTCGATAACTTGTGGCTATTGTGGGTCGGCAAACTTCGACATTAATTTTGAACAATTTTATTCGTTGCACCATGTTAAGGGCGCTGATAAAATCAGTAAACAGACGTATATTGCCTGGTTTAGCATTAATCAGGGGCCGCGGAACCGGGGACAATGGGGCATGTGCCTCACCACATTTTAAAAATGAAAAAATGCCTTTTTGGGGGGGCTAGAAAGGAAATGCCCTTTTTGTAGTAGTAAAAACTCTGTAAAGGCCATTTCCGACTTTATAGGAACTCCATATTTTCAAAAATCGTTTGATTTTGATCACAATTATACAAAAGTAATTCCGCGGCCTCACGCATTAATTTTACTACAACTGGTTAAAATTAAGCAAAGATTGCTTAAAATAGTTATAAATTCCAATTCAGTTGCCCCCGTGGCTCCGGCGCCCCTGCCTTGATCTGCCGCTAAGTTCACTCCAATAATCGGTGAATTATTCATACTTTAACACTTATATACTATCTATAAGTGGCTCTGGTCCACAAAACACACTGTTTCCCTCGATCTCAGTAAATATAAAGTGATAATACATAAGTTTAATGTTTAGTTACTTTTGTTCTATTCAGTCTATGCTTCTGTAAACTAGAACAATAGTAACTAGGCATGTGAGTTATCCAAAGCTGTGAATTGGGTGGCAACGATGTAAACAGCGTTAGCCAAATTTGTCTATTGGCTTCACTTTTTATAGAGTCTATCCACTGATCTCATATTGACAGGATAGACCCAATTGAAAAATGAAACTGAACTAATAACAGACTGGATAGTCATGTTTGTCAGCTATTCCTGGGTATGTAAAAGTGCCCTGCTCTGGCAAGTATAAGTTCACTCTCGTTGATGGTAAGCCTCGTGAGGTGACAACTGCTGGGGTGAGTACAAATGTCTGCATTACACTCCCCCAATTTGTGCAACTTTCTGTATTCCCCGGCTTTCTCCACATGCACAATTCCCCAGGCCAGCAAAAGAAAAGTTCTTTTCCATGACTCAAGCATGCACAAAGTAAAAATAAGAGCTGCTATCAAAAATAACTGGCAAGCTAGTGTTGCAGTTCAGCATGAGCTCCACCTTTGAATTTACTATATGAGTAAATTCTTAAACACGTCCGAAATTATCATTATGATAAATTCGCAGCATATTTTGAATTTATGATAATAATAAATTCGCGGCACTAACCCCTAACCACTAATCCCCTAACTCCTAACCAGTAATCTCTAACTCCTAACCTAACTTTTTTAACCGTAATTTTTTTAACTTTTTTAAAAATCTAACATTTTAAACTTTTTTGCTTTTTAAAACTCTTTTAAAACTTTTTTAAAACTATTTTTTTGAAAAACTCTGTTTCTTACTGCAGTATTTCTGTTATTGCAAAGGTTAACAAATTATATGAAAATACGACGATATACGTTAAATTTCAAAATTCTTATGTGTTCATATGCAGTGAATCAAACGAAAAATGCAACCTTTGTTACAATTATTTAAAATATTACAAAAATAAAAAACAACTAAATTTTATCGCCATATTTCTCCATAATTCGGCAACCGCTACAATAATGCCAAAGTCAAAACAAAATAGTAAATGACAACAGACTACAAAAGCGGAAGTGGGAAGGTTGTAGTATTTTGACTGCAATTATGTACAAAAATATGTTGCATCCATGCTGCAAGAATTAATGTCCGATCCGACCTTTCCGGCAAAATTTCCATTTACAGGGACAGAAAAAGATTACAAGACAAGTTGAATAAAAAAGTTAAAGCACCGAACACTTTTTATGTACAGCCAGAGATACTGACAGCTTTGAAATTTGCTACAACCACAGAAAGTACTGCCCGATTATACCTTAAAAAGATATTTAACAGTTGTGAAATTATTCATGCGAATAAGCCAAGAATGGTTAAGGTTGTATTTTTAATGTTTTTATGTTGTGAATTAGAAGCTGGATAATAAACCAGCTTATTTAACTTTTTAATTATTACTAGTGTCGCTGATCAGCGAACACGCGAACGTAAACAAACAGCTAAAAATAGACCCAATTCGGAGATTCATAACTTTTCAGAAAATTGCTTGCAGACGAGTTTTATTCCTGATTACTTAACTTTAGTAGGTATACTTTCAAATTACATGCCTTTTGAACCTCAGATAGGTGCCACTTTTGAGCTATTTTAAATAAAATATGAGCAATTTTCAGCCTCTCGTCGCCATCTTGAAAACATAGTTTCGTAAAACTATAAAAAATCGTATTAAGCAAATAAAGTTATTCAATCTCTATGTAAACGAGAGTATTAGTGTTAATCTTGCATATGAACAGTAACTGGAGAGGATAAACGCATCACAACGTTTTTAAAAATCAGATGAATTCTTGTAAAATTTCCCTTAATTTCCGGTCTGAAAATATTCTCGCAAGGTCAAATTTCAACATGGCTATAACTCCTATAAAACAGAAAGTTGAAACGTTCTGAAAGAAGCTCGATTAATATTGACCAAAGTCTAGCTCATATGCAAAATATGAGCTAAATCTATTTTTCCTTCCCCAAACCAGCGGGTGGATTTTACTGAGAGGCCCTCTTAAGTCTCTCCTGTTTCTTCAATCTTGTATCGATATTGTAGTGGATTACTGAATGGCACGATGCCAGTAAACACTAGGCTCTGATTGTTTCCATTCAAAGAAACCACAAGCGTCGTCCTTTGGACAGCAGTAAAACAACCGGTTTTGGTTAGGACCATCTTTCTTGACTTTTCGTTCACAGCGAACCATTCCATGTTGACAGATAGGTCTAGGATCTTCATATACATCTCCCCACTGCCAACATTTGCAGGGATTTTCTCGTTCAGAGCATACGAAGAACGGACGACCGTAGTTTTGCTTCATCTTGTCTTTAACTGTACGTAACTTTGCCAATGTGTAGAGCACACGGGACGTTGAGGACCACTCTTTCTAAAATCTTCTACGGCTTTCGTGAAGATATAACAATCTTCATCTCGGCAAAAGAACTCACAGTTAGGTTTTTGTCCACAGAACCAAAATGTACCACGTTTCGTAGTTAAACAGGATGCAGGTTTTCCATGTAGGCACCCATGGTTAGAACAGCGAAATAATGCTCAAAACGAATGTAATCGAATTTTGTAGCGACGCTAACATGGGATCGCCAATTAAAAAGTGATTACCGCCGAATCCTATTGTGATAAAAATGCTAACCTCAGCTTAATAACTTGCTCAAACTTGCCTTGCATATCATATGCGTGCGCATCCTCCTCCGCCTCACTCTACCACCCCTCCACCTGAATATTAATTACCTCCCCCTCACTCCACCTCCCTCGGCCTGAATATTAATTACCTCCGCCCTACTCCACCTCCCACCTCCTCCGCCATTCCTCCACCCCAGAATCCGGGTCGAAAACCATATACACTACTATTTGCCACAACCTTACCAAATGCTACAACTTCCAATACCACACCCTTCCCAAATGCCACAACCTTCTCAAATATCACAACCTTCTCAAATATCACAACCTTACCGAATGCCACAACCTTACCAAATACCACAACCTTCCAATACCACAACCTTACCTAATGTCACAACCTTCAGCGCTTTTGATCATTATATGTAAAAAGCGCTTTATAAATTATTAAATTATAATTATATAATACCACAACCTTCCCAAGTATCACAACCTTCCAAAATGGCACAACCCTCCCAATTGTCACAACCTTACGAAATGCCACAACCTTACGAAATGCCGCAACCTTACCAAACACCACAACCTTACCAAATACCACAGACTTCCAATACCACGACCTCGGACCTTCCCAAATACCACAACCTTAACGAATCCCACAACCTCAAAGCCAAAACCAAATCAAAGCCAAAACCTTAACGAATCCCACAACCTCACCACATCCCACATGCCTACCAAATGACACAACCTTCACAAAACCGGCAACCGTATCAAATCCCGATACCCTGGGATTACAGCTACCCTGTGTTCCCAATAGTACGATAGAACAAGAACACTATGTTAATGATTTTGAACTGTCTGTGCCAGTCTAGATAGTGCCAATAATATAAACAAGCTTTCGTTGGTAGGGATGTAACTACCTGAAAAATATAAGGAGAATTCCGACGTTTCGAGCGAAGGCCCTTCGAAGCCTAGTAACTCCAGACAAAGGGCCTTCGCTCGAAACGTCAAAATTCTCCTTATATTTTTCAGGTAGTTGCATCCCTACCAACGAAAGCTTGTTTATATGTTAATGATTCACGTTTATTGTTGTTATAAATCCAAAAGACATGAAAAAAACTTGGTTATTAGCTTCTCTTTATACATTTGCATAATCTAAACTTCTACCAGTATTACTAGGTTTAAATCAGTTACATGATAGTAAAGGAAGATCTCACAATGGGAGGGCCTAATCAAAAACGACACTTTGTTGATTGTATTCGATTGTATTTTACAATTAAGTAAAACCAAGGACCTGCAAATTCATATCGAACACGAATATATTAATTACCAATATTTCGAAAGCAAACCTCATTATTATATATTAACAATCATCTTGATCATGAACTAACAAGCAAACGTCTGGATATCATGTATGCTAACACTTTTTTTCTCTCGCTGATAGCCCATCCTACTCAGAGATTATATTAAAAAGAATAGAGTGGGGAAACGTTCAGGCAAACGAAAGGGACAAATTCAAGCTTGCTAATGGGGGCAAATTTGAGTTATACCAGGATGTAAAACCAAGAAAATCTATTTTTTACCTTTTGGCTACAAATCAAGCATACAATCCTGGTTTTATCAACCGGCCTGGCTCTTTTACATTTATTTATACATATTTTTTATATTTCCAACCATTTAACTATTTTCAGCATTTATTTTGATAATAAAATTCCAAACAAATTTTCTATATTCTTCTTTTCGTGAGAAAAATATTAACAACGTATATAACAAACAACGTGACAAATTTTCACAATAAATTGCGGAATACAAACTCGGAAAATCTCAACGGATACAATGATCCATTAGGTAACAAAAAAGAGACTATATTAAAAAATTTCGTAAATATCTAAAGAGGAAATCTAGGAAGTTACCCACCAGTTTTAACATCATCAAGAAATTTCTGGTTCTACTGTAATAGTACATAAACAGGTAGCCTGCTCACAGACGTTGTAGTTCTTACGCCAAGCGACGAAATACTACCGTCTGCTTACCCGAGCTGCACATTCAATTCCCTTTGTTTTAGGAGCCAATCATCTGGTAGTGTTCAAAAAAGTTAGAGCCAATTGGAAGCCGCCTTATTGAGAGATTAGCTACAGGGGAAACCCCTTGCACATGCATTGGAATATATTGTTTGGGTTGAAACTTGAAATTTGTTTACTTGCGTGGATATATTTTGGAAACTATAGCGTTGAACTTCACGATGTTTACGTAGAATAATATTGTGATCATCTTCTCGCATGTTCAGCAAACAATCGGTGTATATAAAGTGCTAAAGCAATGCAGTAGGCGAAATTTAAATTTTTGTTAACAATGACAAACAATGGGCTATTACATTAAAAAACCAACCCCCCCCTGTCGAGGACCTCTGCTTTTGGGAACTTTTACCCCTCTGGAATGCAAGAAAATCTGTGCAATTGACCCCTCTGGAAGAGACTTGAACCCCCTCTGGAAGTGCATTTTTGCTTTTTAACCCCTCTGGAAAGAGCATTTTTCTTCCATTTTCCCCAATTACCCCTCTGGAAAAAATGATTAATTTCCCCCTTGGAAAATGAGGTCCTCGACAGGGGGGGGTACGGATATTAAATGTAATAGCCCAATCAATCGGGAAACTCGAGTATATCGGGATATGTCCAAATGTTGCTCTTGATACTTCCTATATGCCATGACTTCGACGAAAACTTCTAAAAGATTAAGCTCTCATTGTCATGTAGAAAAGTATAGCCAAGTTAGAGTATAAACGTTTCGACGTTTGGGCGAATTGGAAAATTCATCAAGGCGCAATTTTAATACAAGTTTCTAGGGTTTGTGTTGTGTTTACAGTTTACATTCAGAAGTGGTTGCTCAAACAGCAAATTAGTTTACTTTGAAGCTAATATTTCGCTTTCTAAGCCACAGTATTATATAAAATTTTATGTCTTCCGAGTTCTGTTGTCTTTAATTTAATATAAAGATTAACCGTTAAAATTTCAGCGAAATATATTCGGCATTTGATGCTGTCTGGCTAAGATTCATACAGTATAAATATGCCAATCCTGTCCGCGTTTTAAATATAACCGAACATCTTTAGTATCCAAATCTGACCATTAATGGTGCATTTTATTACCTGGACAAGTATCAGTATCTTTAAATTCAATTTATGTGCAATTTTGACCAAAATTTAACCGACGACTGCTTTCAAAATATATATTTATATTTATTCCGCTCCTAAATCAACTGACGTCACTTTCCAGAATATGGAAGGTAAATTCTGATTGGTCGACCTAGCGGAATTCAGTTTGACGCTCGGGTAAGCAGACGGTAGTATTTCGTCGCTTGGCGTAAGAACTACAACGTCTGTGAGCAGGCTAATAGACAGCCGGCCAAAAACTGAAAATGTGCAACAAAATTTGTTTGATGGCATTTTCTGTTGCAAGCTTGGCACTGACATTTTCTTAGAGTATAGACAATAATGAACAAGACTATATATGTTGGCAACTCTGATTTTGGCTTTTTGCCGAAAATTCGAGAATTTTAAAATTTTCCCTATAAAAAGTAGGTACTATGATAACAAAAAAGCAAAATTTCAAGTTCACTTTTAACAAAAAAAAACAACAAAACTGTACCATTAGAACGTTCGCAAAAAAGTATAATAAGACATTTAAGCGATTAGTATGATTTTCGTAGTCCATATTGAGCTGAAGAAGAAATGCTCTAATTGATGCTAATAGTTATATACTATTTGCCTTTAGATGTCTTACATATACTTTGCTGCGATCTTTCTACTTGGTATGGCTTATTTTTGTGAAAAGTAAACTTGAAATTTTGCATTTTTAGTCAACATAGTACTTTATTAGGGAAAATTTTAAAATTCTCAAATTTTCGGCTGTAAAGCCAATGAAATCAGAGGTGCCAACATATAAACAGTAGTCTTGCACGTTCATCAATGTTTAAGCTATAAGAAAATGCCAGCTGACAGCTTGCACCAGAAAATGCCATCAGAGTGTAACTTTCTGATGGCCGGTCGTCTAAAACGGTTTTTGTCATTATTTCACAAACATTGGCCCAAAGCCAAAGAAATTCCAAACTCTACATGTTCTCATCATCATGAGTTCAGTGTTCTTAGGGGCTGTCACGGAGAATGAATTGGGATAATAAGATTCATCCGAGGGCGAACTGTGGTTGAGATCAGATTCCGGAGTGGACTGAGAAAGACTTTTTGAATATATTGTCCCCGAGCCGACGGCGCGAAGCGCCGTGCGAGGGTACTAATTTCCCCCCGGCTATTTACACCCGGGGAAACGAAAGCATTAGCGGAGTCTAAAGTTCATCAAATATCGCGGGCGTGGGTCACCAACGGTGTTGGGTGGGTGGTCATCCTCACTGATCTCAAAAATATGGCGGACTGTCACGAATAGCGGACACTGATTGGTCCAATTTAAAGTTTGCATTATAACGACTGCATGACGACAGCGAAATAGCAAACATTTCTTGATTTGATGATTCATAAATTTCTTGCAAATATATTTCATTTTTGCTCGCATTTTTGCAAGATTTTGTAAATTTCAAAAGCTCTCTGAGAAAGGAACTGCGAAAGAATCGGCTAAAAGAAGGGAGCCGGCGTTAACGAAGGTAAGTTTGTTTTAAATATTGATTTTATAATGGATTTAAAACCCGACGGCCTTTGCGTATATGAAACAACTAAACAAGACAGCATATAATTTCAGTGTATCTTTAATATTGATTTCCCTTTTTTATGATATTGAATTTTTTAAATAAATAAGAAAGCAAAGTTATTTGCAAGCGAGAATTTTAAATCATTTTATTGCAAACTCAAAGTTTATCGATAAAGCCATTTTAAAAGGCAGTTTAGTTTTATATTAAAGAACACTAATGACTTTAAAACGCTTTGCGAAGCGTTTGTGGTTGAATTTTACCTTAAAGGGTATTGGCAACAAAAATTGCTTCATCTATCTTATTGCTTCATCTGAAAGAGCATGAAAAAATAAGCCGATTGGCCGTTTAATGCTCTATTCTATCTCATCTAGTTCCGAAGTTATACGCAAAAATGTGAAAATATAAATTGCTGATTCAGCACAACGTGTGACGTCATTAGCTGGGTAAGTATGTTTATTGAATACTACACTGAAGCATAGCTCAGTTATTATGGGCCCAAATGAAATGAAATTTTGCATACTGATTGTACATGATGAGACGCATGGAAAAACACTTCTAATTCTGTTGCCAAGGTAACAATGTCGTTTCCAGGCCCCTTGCGCCAATTTTATGAAACAGCTTTATTCAAGGTACTGATAAGAATAAAATAATATCAGAAGTATGTGTATGATACCTATGCATGCCAAAAGTTTACTTGCACGATAATAATTCGAAAATGACATACACATAGATAAATGCAACTAGTTATTCAAAATCAGTGTAAGAGGCCTGGGAACGACTGTGTTGCCTTGACAACGAAATTAGAAGTATTTTCCCATGCATCTCATCGTGTACTATCTGTATGCAAAATTTCATTTGATTTGAGCCAATAATAACTCAGCTATGCTTTAGTTTACTATTCAATAAACATACTTACCCAGTTTATGACGTCACAGAATGTGCTGAATCAGCAATTTATATTTTGCACATTTTTGCGTATAACTTCGGAACCAGATGAGATAGAATAGAGCAGTAAACGGCCAATCGGCTTATTTTTTCATGCTCTTTCAGATGAAACAATAAAATCAATAAAAATTTTTGTTGCCAATACCCTTTAAATCGAGGCTTATATTACGTATAATAACATACCTAACATATATATGTTGGGAAATTAATAATTTTGTGATTAAAAGTGATATTTATAGGCGATTTTTCATTTGTAAGAATATTCTTAAAAAATTATCGTGTTACCATGACAACTTTGATACTTCATGTTCGGAAAATACAATGGTTTTGTCAGCAAGGCGAGGGTTTTTGCATGCATGTATTTTCTAGTTAAGCCATTAACACACATCATGAATTGTCCGTCCAAACTGGTATAAGGTACTGGTACATGAGGATAAGATGAAAATTGCTCGAGTGATATCCATCTATAAATCTGGACCAGGCAACTAAAGGTCGTAAGTAACCGTTTGATCATAGGCAGCCCAGATTTTACACATTTTGCTGGGCTGCCTATGGTTTGATTAAGCATATGAAAACAAGAATATAATATCTTATTCAAAAATCAGTATAGTTGGAGAAAGAACCATTCTATAGCTTTTGCACACTTGCATTTAGCTGATAGCTTAACCAGTTGATAAAAACAAGTGCACAATTGGTATTTTCCTAGATCTTTCTAAGGCATTTGATACTGTCAATCATGGGATTTGTTTGACAAACTTGATCATTATGGTTAGGGGTGCACCGGATTTCAAATCTGGCCGGAATTTCGGCCGGATTTAACGAATTTTCCGGCATCGGCATCGGATTTAGAGAAAATCCGGCCGGATTTAAATTTCTGTTTTCACCTTAAAAATTCACCAAGAATGGGATAAACCATCAATTTGGCAGCTTTAAAGTTTAAAAAACACTTATATTATTATAAAATATCAAGTCATTAACAAAAAGATATTTAAAAAAGGTTTAAACACAATCAAAAATCTAAACTGACACTAACTAAAAATAGTAAATAGTAATAAATAGTTATAATTTTTATTTATAAATGAAAAATTCCTTACCCTTTATAGAAACTTCATGCCATTGTCTTTGATTTTTAAAAAACATAAACCGCCATTTTGAATACTGAATTATCCCAATTTATCCCCTATTGTCCCCATTACCGGTTTATCTCAAATCCGGCCGGAATTTTTGTCCAAATCCGGCAAATCCGGTTCCGGCCGGATTTGAAAATTCCAAATCCGGTGCACCCCTAATTATGGTATCTGTGGACTGGCTCTTGATTGGATAAAAACTATTTTGTTGATACATGTAGATATCAATTTGTTGAATTTTCATGTCATGACTTTTATGAATACTATAGTTTAAATGTTAACTTCATGCATTCCTCCAAAGTCTATTTTCTTGTTGAGTATATTACACCATGAAAAGTTAGCAAAATATGTGTACTTATATTAAATATTAATGAAGTGAATACTATTTGTTTTCTAGTATCTAGTACAAGTAACAGACATACAGGGTCTTAGCCAACCTCCGTCGCAGGGACTTTCCACCGGCTGGGAAAGACCCTGCTATCGGCTGGTCACGTGTCTCCCAGAATCTGGGAGATAACAATTTCAATTAGGGTGGGTACCTAAGTACGTTTTGTCATTGAGCGAGGAGTGAGCGAAGAAATCTGCCCAGAAATCATGCAGGAAATATTTACAAAATTGTATATTTTATTTGTCATGAAGACTATCAATGTTACACAACAGTAAATATCAAATTTCATTGTGCGCAGAATGTCGGTGAGAAAGATAGATCAGATTTCAATAGACAAATTATGCCGATACAGCTCGTCGAATAAATCAACACGTCGCAAACGTTACAAGAAAATATATTTCTAGACCAGTACCGACCGATGTGGCTGTTATTTAGCTGTTGATGTCTATCCTAAAGGATTTATTTAATACTGAGATGTGTAACGAAATATATAGAGATCTTTTGATTTCTGAAATATCGCAAACTATGTTGCTTTGTAAACATTATGCTACTCGGACTGCTCACTGCTGAAACTTCAGAACCATCCTCAGAGTTTGATGCTCAAGAAATATGTCGAAGTATACCTCCTTGTTATCAAACCTGGTAACATAACGGTAAAATATCAAACGGTAAAATAATCCGACAATAGCCTACTCAAAGATAAGTGAAAGACTCGTCTGTGCGTGTATGTTACAAATACGAATACTGAATATGTTTGACATTTATAGGACATTTAGAGAATGCAGTCCTCATGATAAATTTGATAAATAGCTTTAATTGTGACATTTAATAGCTTTACTGTAATGAAATTACTAATACTGTAATGAAATACTTTTTGAAATATAATACTGATTCAAACTCTTAAGACTATGTAAGTGTTAATATATCTGTGGTGGGTATATTTGACTATATATGACTGCATATGCATATCAGACTGAGTGTGATATCAGTGTTTATGCCGTGGTTTATGCCGTTGTTTATTCCGTGGTTTATGGAATTATCTATGACTATGTTCATATTATAAAGTGTGTACTGTATATCAGAAAATTACTGTTATAAATATTGCTGTTACCCCATTACTTAGTGCATGGAGGCCAAAAAATTATCAGCAGGCTAAAGCCGTGATTGTATATACCACCTGATGATACACGCCCTGAGGCTGAAAATTGTTGTACTTTTACTACCTGCCAACCTCCTACCCTACCGATCTACAGGGTTTCTAAAAAACTATGACGAACTATTAAATTAAAAGTATTTTCAAAGATAAACCATCGACAGTTTTAAAGTGAGCATTTAGTCTCTGTTCGGCAGTGTCCACATGTTTACATTGTGATTTGTGACAAAAAGTTAATTACATTTCAAAATTTTATCAACCTTCACTATAAAATGAGACGCGTATTATTAGTAAATCTACACAAAGTTTATCAACGTTTTCAAACAAGAAATCTAATGGCATATTTTCGGAACAGATAAAAGTGAAAATGTACAAACGTTGAGGACTGACCAGTTTGATATGAAAATATGTTTCAAGGGAATACCCAACTTCAAAGTTTAAAGTATGCATTTTATTTGTTTCTTGACTTGACTGTTAATAAAATGCTACAGTGTTTTTGTAATTTACAAGCAAACGGAGGTATAAAATAGAAGTTAGCGGGCGCTTCGAACTATATATCGTAAAATCCCACTCCTGGTATTTGAAATTTAACGTTTTCTGTGGAAGCATGTAATTTGATACTTTGCCACTCCCCCTTGGGCAATCAATTTTTGTAGAGTCACGTGACCAGCCGATACCAGGGTCTTTCCCAAAAAGACCCTGGGTACGAGGATGGGTCTTAGCTGGGATTTTAGATCTTGGGCGTGTTTCTAAATGACTAGGGTGTGCACATGTCAATTACCTCAAATAGCCAAATTCACAGTTCTAGTTATGCTCGCCAACAACAGACAATACTTGTGGTTGTTCTATGCTTTGCAACCAAATACAAGGCGAGCATACGCTCATATTGGGCACTGACATTAAAATATTAAGTTATTTCAGCAACTCTTGGGGGTATTTAAAACCATTTTAACACCATACAGTTCCCATTATCCATCAAAACATTAAAACATCACAGATCACTTTTGCCAATTTCAACAACAACCGTAGATTTTACAAACTTTCTTACGACGTACAGTAAATAGGAAGAAATTCTGTCCGTTATGAACCTACACGACCTTATATAAATAATGAAACCGCGTTCATTTAAATATCTAGCCGTGTTTTTCCCCTTTTGACCGCGACAACACGGCCAACACGGCCCTCTAGCTAAGACCCTGCAGACATACAAGGTTTAGTATAACATATCATTTATAGACCTTTCACTCCAGTTATCCCCCTCCCCCAAAAAAAAAATTCCTCCATCTCTCAGGGAAATTGTTTTGGGAATACCCTCGTTCCAGGTCTATAACTGATAATAGTTGTATAACCACTGATACGCACAGCTCGTTTTAATCTACATTAAAGTAAAAAGAGTGCATGCAAGAAGTGTGTTAGACTGTTAGTTGTAATATAGACCAGGACTTACTAGTGGTGCCAAAGCATCTGGGAAAACATAAATGATAGAAACGGTAGTGTGATAATATCAATTGTTTAATCATTTACCCACCCTTTCTGGGTACAGTCATTGTCATAAATGTATTAGATAAAACTCACGCGAATGGTACATAATGTCCATATTGTTCCATACACATCCTTCGAAAGAAATCTTCACTTAGTTCATCGTTGTCTTGGCTACCATCTTGGCTACTGTTATCAGTAGCGTATTCATTCCACTCTTCTAAAGTGTAAATAGATGAGATACGAATTACATATGTAGGGAACGACGTACTTTTACATAAGTAATTATAAAATAGCCTTTTAAAAACACGGCCGCTGATTGGTCAAAAGCTCAAAAAACCCGTGTTTCTATAACTCGATAGAAACACGGGGAATTTTCACGCGGATCGCGTGGATTGCGCGGGAGTTTAAAAGACAAAATACAAACAATATTTCATTTTGAAAAAAGTTGAAAAACGTCCCGAAACGCCGAAGAACCGTTACAAAAAAAGGCAACAATTTGCTAACTTATAGAAAGCGAAGACCTAAACTACAAACTATAATCATAGACATAGCACACGTTGTATCAGTTTGACTGTTTACCAAGGTAAGATATTTTAATTTTACTTTGTCTTTTTAAAAAAATGTTTCCTCGCGACGTTTTTAATCATGTTTACTATAGTTTTTAATCGTGTTTTTAAACGTTCACTAACTATTTAAAACAGTGCTTTCTTTGCATGCAAGCATATACGTTGTTGAGTGAATTATATACTTAGTAAAGTAAGCCTGTTAAGTGCTGTCTGTTGTTTTCACAGCGATATACTTGTTTAATACTTCGCTATGCTTTTATAATTATTCTTTACACGAACGTATAGGTGGAATTATTATTTGAATGAAAGCAATTAAAATCAATAAATTTATCTTTTCTATTGTTTTTAAAAGACTATTTAATAAACAGGGGGCCAGTCATTATTTGTGGCAAGGGGGAGGGGCGAAGAGAAATGTTTTCTTAGCCGACTATTCCAAACCATTAACGAGGAAATAATTTCCCTCACCCAACCTCAACTTGAAGATTTTATACCCACCCCTAAATTTTAAAGACATTTCAGTCGTATCATGCCGGCGTAATTCCCAAGAAAAATATCAAACTCGAAAGGTATCAAGGCTTTCCAGCGGATGTGAAACTTCAAGATGTTGGTAAGTGTGAGCGAGCCTCAAAACACTAAGTCAATGAAACATTGCTTTTGTGAGGAACCTACAGACACTGTAAAGGAACAGATTATAAATAGAAAAAGAGCTCGTTAATGAGGATATGTTTCCAAAAGATTGGACCACAAACGAATTTAAGTTTATAGAAGATTGCGTTGAACAATTAGATACTACACAATTACTAATACGGTTGAAATAATTACACTGGCCGATAGGACCAGTGTCTTAAAATGGGCCTGTTTCTGTCTTCGTCGGGTTTTTTTTTTTTGGGGGGGGGGGTGTCTCATAAAACGAGTGTTGGCACTGGGGATAAACCAGGGCGACTCTCAATTATTTCTTTGAGCCATTTAACGATAGAAGCATAAACAGCTTATTATCGATTTAACTAATAATATACATAAAAATGTTACTCGACTGTGATTGGTTGATTTCAGTGCAGTTAATTCCAAACAGCAGTGCAATTTTCTGTAATCACAATGCAATTTTCTGTAATCACAGTGCAAAAATCTGTAACAAACTGACCTGATTGGTGGAAAAACAATGTGATGATAAAATCAACCAATCAGTTTAAAGCAGTTTAGTTTAAAGAAGTAACGGTCACAGATTGCTTCAAAACAAAATAAACATGGCGCCGCGCTACATAAAGTAAAAGTTGACTTCGACAAAACTTAATAGTTGAGTGGAATTTTCAAGCCGCTAGCGTTGTATAATGTGATATAACAAAGTCAGGAAAACTTTGCCAGTGGACGGTTCGCTATATATAAAGTATAAACGCAAGTTAAAACTACAATTGTCTCGAACATTTTTATGTAAATTAGTATGTAAATTTTTATGTAAAGTATTAGCATGGTTTCTCGTGAAATTTGGATAAAGATGCACTCGTGAGTTTTTTAAAGACCTCAAATATATTTTGAAGTCTTTGAAAAACTCACTCGTGCATGTACCGTGTACGTTATATCCAAATTGCACTCGAAACCATGCTATTACCTATACAAATCATAACTGTTACAGTTTATTATTTAACAAATTAGTATGAATGATAAAACATTTAAGTAATGAACTTGTATAGTAACAGGTGAATAGTAACATGCATGGTGACGACCTAAATTCGCGCCCCATATTTCGCACCCCATCTTATTTTCACCACTAAATGTGCGAGTATGACGTAATTATGGTAGATGGAAACAAATCCATCGTTTATATGTTTTTGTAGAAGCTGCGGGCGAAAAATAGTATCACCAAAACACGAAATGCCAAAAATAGAATGACAGGGTCTCCACCCTTAAGTGAAGGTGAAATTCAAGTACTTTTCCAGGACTTTCAAGGCCCTTTTTCAGTAAATTCAAGGACCTAGAACTGGGAAAAATCTGTAAAAATGGCCCGCATTTGCCGTAAATAATTCACTTCATTCAGTAATTTTAATCAAAATCAACTAGTCTAATGTTGGCACAGCTGGAGGTTAAGGAAATTAATTCCAGGACTTTCAAGGACTTCTACTGATTTTCAAGGACTTTAAAATCCTGGAATTTGTTTTTCCGGAACTTTCCAGTCCTGGAAAAAGTTGTTAAGTTGTTTAATGTAAATAACATGCGGCAAAACTGCTTACAGCTAAATATAAATGTAATGGATAAAATTACCATCAACAAACACGGGTAAATCAGGAGCTTGCTCTTCCAACATACCATCTATGTTCTGCAAGTATAAAGTATATTTTAACCAGTTTATCGGGGAAGGAAAAAAGAATTTTCTTTCTGGGAGCACAACTTGAAGACAAAAATTTACTGCAGACCAACGGAGTATTTTTGTGCTAAATCTGTATGTGCATAAACATAGAGTGTTCTAGCTGACCATGGTTTTAAATTCAAGGAATACTGTCTGTCAACCATATGTTGTTGTGCACATAGTGGGACATGGGTGTTAAGGTTTCCTTCAAATTTTCAATAGCAAATCTTCTTTCAAACGAATTTGCTGCAACTGTTTAACATTTCCTGCGAGCAGTTCTCGTGTGCTCGCCTATTTTTTCACCCCTGCAGTTTATTATGGACAAAGACAGCTATAATAACTTGATATTTCTCACATTAAGATTATTCAGATTACATTTTTCAGACTGTCTTTTGAAAAATTCGTAAGTACACGATACGATTTTCGTTGGCTTATGTTTGTACTGTACTGTAGATAGCTTGCAGATCTGCTACAGTAATTCATTCTCTTCGCTTTAAGACCTATCCATCGTTTTTTATTTTATATTTGGCATGACAAATTATAATCGACTGATCAATCAAGCTACAATGAATTTCACTTACTGGAATATACATTGAATATCCTTGTGCACCATAGGGATTTGGTTGAGTGTACGTAGGGGTTTGTGGTATTTCGTGTTGACCCCAGCTTGTCCTTCTTAACTCGCACACACGATTAAACAACATCTGTGCAGTCCTAGAAACAATATTTTTAAAATAATCATTTGTCTGAGAAGTGCACCTGTTCTGCTACAAGGATCTGCTGTTCAATAATTGTGACATTATATGGGGACTCCAGGAAAAATGAGTAAAAATCTCAAAAATTATCTTGAAAATTATAAACTATGTTTCGACTCTTGAAACTACCTGTAAAAGAATATAAAAGCAAATACCTTTCATAAAGCCGTAACAGGTTTCACAATCGGCAAAGGCCTCGGATGTTAGTTATTATTTACGATTAATACCTAAGTCTAAGGATTAGTTTTCATTGAAGGAAAACCGGAGGACACGGAGAGAACCAACAAACTCTACTTACATGGGTTTTTCGAGGGCAGTGAAGTTACCCAACCTTAGCAAATCCAGGTCTTAACCTGCAATTAGCAATTAGCAAGCTTAACACAGAGGTAAGGGGTGCTAACCAAGCAATTTAAACAACACAGTGCTGATCAGATTGATTTCATTGTGTCGCGCGACTGGTTGTAGTTGTACAATACATAAAAAAGGCACAAGTCAAATCACAGACATGTAGCAAACGTAATAGAATTCACTGCATGTTAATTGCAGCATTTTTACAAACGTTCATAAACTTGCTACAAGTCTGCTGTAAGGGCATCTTTTTGACACGAATCACAAGACGTGATATTTTTGCGCGTAAATAAAAGCTCGCGTGTTCACTGACATTTGCTTGAAACGTCAGACTTGCTTCTACCCTTTTCTAGTAGCTTTGATAAAACATCGTATGCACGAAGGTATGTGGCAAGTTTTATATTCTCAACTTGGAGGCTTTTAATTTTCAGTATAATATATCATTATTTTATAGACCTGGAGCGAGGGAGATTCGGCGAAATATTACCCGAAGCGATGATATTTCCCTCAAAACAAAGCCCCTCGTGTTACATGTAATATGAATGTAGCTCTTCCTTCTGGAAAACTCTTACATGTATAAGAAAGAACTATATTTCGGGTGTAAATAGGGAATAAATGGAATTATGGGAAGTGAAAGATACATATATATTATTTTGCCGGCTGCGAGGTCCGTACTGAAAAAATATTTCCCTGAGGCCGAGGGAAAATATTTTTTAGTACGGCATATTTTTTTATTTGATAGTTCATGGTTATAATGAAATCCCGATAAAATTCCAGTTGCGAAGTACATTTGAGATCAGTTGCGTTTGTTACTTTAGTGCAAGGCACTGCAAGCATGGCTGACAAACTGCTAAAACGACGCGAGAAAAGCGGCATGTTGTAAAACCTGGACTGGACTTGTAAAACCTGGACTGGACTCATTTGTAAAACATGGACTGGACTCAGAACAATACAATTTGTAAAACATGGACTGGACTCATTTGTAAAACATGGACTGGACTCATTTGTAAAACATGGACTGGACTCAGAACAATACAATTTATAAAACATGGACTGGACTCATTTGTAAAACATGGATTTGCACAAAACTATACTAGTCAAAAATAGAAACCTATTGACTATGACCACTATGACAAAGGGTGGCCACAGGAGGTCAAATTTTTAAAATATGGCAGCCAAATATATTTTTCTTTTCACAGTATTCAATTAGTTAGGTTTTTCAAATGGAAGAACAGTGTTTTTTTTTACTAAATATGGGTCATTTAGTGCCTAAATGAAATGTAATTATTTTATTAAACCGGTAAGTATATATTACTTATATTATTTATGTGTAGACACACCACTACTGTAGCGGAGACAGTCAACACAGCAGGGGTCATCCTAAGGCCCCCCATTTTTCAAAATGGGTAGTTCTAATTGGAAAATGGGTAGTTCTAAATCCTAAAATGGGCAGTTCTAAAATTGAGTTTTGGAGAGAAAATACTGAATTTCCAAAACGTAAAAGTGTCTAAACATTCAATTAGGGGTGCAGCGGATTTGGAATTTTCAAATCCGGCCAGAACCGGATTTACCGGATTTGGACAAAAATTCCGGTCGGAATCGAGATAAAACCAGTAATGGGGACAATTGGGGATAAATTGGGATAATTCAGTATTCAAAATGGCGTTTTATGTTTTTTACTATTTTTAGTTAGTGTCAGTTTAGATTTTTGATTGTGTTTAAACCTTTTTTAAATATCTTTTTGTTAATAACTTAATATTTTATAGTAGTATAAGTGTTTTTTAAACTTTAAAGCTACCAAATTGATGGTTTATCCCATTCTTGGTGAATTTTTTAAGGTGAAAACAGAAATTTAAATCCGGCCGGATTTTCTCTAAATCCGGCCGGATGCCGGAAAATTCGTTAAATCCGGCCGGAATTCCGACCGGATTTGAAATCCGGTGCACCCCTACATTCAATAATCAATATTTAAAAAATTATCTACAAAGAAAAAGGAAATATCGATGAAATGAGCGACTTATAGTTACTATACCCAGATTTCTGATTTCAGAAAATGCACCATTATAATCTTTTGTAAACCAAAAATTTTTCCCAAAATTTGTTCTCAAAATGCTGGAAATGCCGTTTGAGAGACCTCAATTTCAAAATTTTTCAGGGGGCGGGGGGGGAGAGCTATCCCCCGCACCCCTAGAAGGCTTATGCCCACAACACACACTGCATCTGGAAGCAGCTATGAAATGGGCAGTTCTAAATTTTTCTTAGAATGGCCCCTGCAACACACTACTGTACAGTTTATCTAGAATGATATATTCTGTAGCTATAGTATCTAAGGAATAATTACATTTTATAATAATATTTCTTCAAATCAATGTGGTTCACCCACCATTGTCTTCAATTTTACCACTATAAAACTTCTTAAAGTCAAAGTCAACTAGTATTGGCTCCTTAAAAGTTCTTTTAGGCTACTTTTTTATTAATCTTTTCTTAATTGTACTTGTGAGGATTGAGAATTGTTACAGTGATACCAACTA